GGTTGTGAGCGTAGCGCCTTTGCTTGAAGCACAAGTGCCAGACATCCCACTGGGTGCGAGCGTACCGCCTGTGCTTGAAGCACAAGTGCCAGACATCCCACTGGGTGCGAGTGTACCGCCTGTGCTTGAAGCACAAGTGCCAGACATCCTAGAATAGTACAATAAAGGCTCAAGAGTACACTGGGTATTAATGCAAATGTGATTTGATTTACTTTGCAAGTCCATCATTCTGTGGGGAAAAAAAGACAATGCTAGAAATAGGAGAAGGAAAAAATTCTGGTTCTAGTGATACCTCTGTTGGCTCGGTGCTCATACTACTGTCATCGCTGCTCTGAGTGCTGGTCGCCGACTCGTCGCTGAAGGATGTTGTAATGGTAAGCATTGACGGGAACTTTCGACGAATCACCGGCGTCTACAAACACACACACAAGTAAGGTCACAAAGGGAAAAACCGGCCATGAGTTCAGAATAAAACTGTGGTTGAAAACTAATCAATGAAGACAGACGTACATGTACTACAAATCGTTTCAATTACATTGGTTGATGTGCAAACAGATAACATAAAATCTTCAAACGTTAATTTTTTTTAAATTGATATTTGTCGAAACTATAGCATATTGAGTGGCTGATGAATTATAACGTCTACATGGAAGTTTTAGGAAATTAGAAGGTAGCTAAGAAATCATTTCATGGCGAAGACTTAACCAAATTTAAATAATGAAAAAGGAGTGATGTAAGGCCCATTCCACTGGATGGACATCTACATTACTAATTTCTCAAATTTATTCTGTGGCATCAAATGTGCTATGGCTGAGTTTTTCAAAACCTCGTAAACCTTTAGACTTTAAATGACAACCCTCAAACATGCATCATTGTGCAAGGCACAAATGTTCTTAGAATAACAAACAGTGCATGCTTGTGGTAGATCTGAGCAGATACACTTGTATGGAAGAGGATTAGCAAAACAACTTCAAGTTACAAACACACAGGGGAACCAATTCTGAATGATCAGAAGGAACAAGGAAACTATAACTAACGGTTCTGAAAACACAACAACATCAGGCACTGCTGGAACAGCTATGACACGTATTCCGTTTTGAGGCCAGATTTTCAGAAAACTTGCAGCACTTTTCAAACACTTGCTGACAGCATGCTACTCGCAGACTGCAATAACGCTACTTGTTTAAACATACAAAATTAATTTGGCATCTTCTCTACTGCATTAACCCCCGGGGGGGGCATAGGACATCTCCAAAACAGGAACTACGGAGGGATGGGAGGGGCAAGATTGACAGAGGGGCGGATGATTCAAGAAACCACAGCACCCGCACTACTTTGCAGTGCTAATGTTAGTTAAATAAGGACCTTCTTAAAGGACAGTGGACATGTAGTACTGTGCAACACGGAGTAACATCATCAAGGGGAGACTTTGAGATGCTGGACGCTGGAGTCAAGTTTGAGCGTATGAGCACACGCTCAAAATAATGATGCAAACAATAATGAACTCGTCCTATAGGACTGACAGACTGGCATATTTGCTACAGCCAAGCGTCTCACAAGTCTCCCATGGGCATGCAAATACAGCGTTATCCAATTGAGGACTTCACACTAATTGCGTCTATGACCGATTCCGCATCAAAAGTCATGGATGAGAATGTTACCCATTCAGGCATGTGAAAACAGCACATTCCAAATTAAACAAATTGCTACTTGACATGAGAAATGAAGCAAATTTTACATAACAAAAGTTATTTTTTTAATAACTTCCTTCCTTTTCAGGAAGCTAGATTGCAACTTGACTTTCAAAAATGTAACGACGGACGAGGTCACTGACAAACAAGCAAGGCACGAAGTGCTTTCTCTTCTATACTGGTGTCCTTTTCCCTCTATGTCCTTTCATAGGTTACATCAACGGACTGGAAACCAGCCTATCGGGCATAACTTTTCAAAATCAGGCAATGTCCATAAGTAATGGCTGTGGCTTCAAATACTACATGACCCCATGGTAGCCCCTGGTTTGTGGCTGCAGCCACTTCCCATAGACATGAACATTAATCCTAGTCACAGCCAGTTGAGTAAGACGCTGCTCTGTGCTATGCACTGCCCTTTCTATTATGCATTGATTACTATGCTTCCGCAGCACATGTGGCATGGACATACCCTTCATTACCTGCCCTTGCATCGTTAGGCAACCAAGCGACCTCTTTGGATCATGGACAGAAGCTACTGAACCCATTTGGAACCAAAGCAGACACATTTACCAACAACAACAGGTAAACGTTGGATGAAATTCTGCTTGAAGCAACAGAAAAACCATGCATGAATGCTGAATGACAGCCATTGTGTAAAAATCTCAATTTTTTTCCTCAATTGCCAGTGGTAGACCCTTTCACTAAGCAATCATTGGAACATCTTCTGAAGTACCATGTACTATCACAGTGATCTTTAGACAAATAAAGAGTCAAGTATAAGATGCAGTCAATTTGTGTTTGAACACAAAACTGGAACAGCTTTGGTGATGCAACAGCAAACAATGACATACTATGTGAATGCTTGTCCAAATGAAATCCCCCAACAAAAATCATCACAAAAACAATATCACACAACTAAAATGACAAACGATTTTCTTTCCTTCTGATAGGTTTAAGGCCATGAAAAAAAAAAACTACACTGTACTGTGATTTCTCATTACCAAATGAAATTCTTAATACGCATGATGTTGAATATGTACATCATGTATCTTAACATTGGATGTAAGGTGAATCTCAGATGTTCATGAGTGTACTGGTAGTGATCATGAATATGCAGGCTGTTGAATATGCATTATATGACCAGTTTGACTTTGAATAAACCTCATTTTATATGAAGGTGAATTATACCTGTTTATGACCATGTATGCTGGGAATGATCATGAATATGCACGACTGATGAATATGCACGACTGTTGAATATGTACACTTGCGTAAATGAGCAGGGCTGCAGTTGCACCACATTTCCTTCAATTATTTGTGGTTGTTTGTTACCTTGGCTGGGGGATCATAAAAGTACTGTCCAGCAAGACCCATCATTCAAAATAAAACAATGAAATTAAAGTGACTTTTGATGTCATGGGGCACAAGATGATTGTTACTTTCAAATAAAAGAATGAAGAAACCTGTTTCTTTAGATTGAAATTTTGAAACAGTGACCTAAAAAAGTGCTTTGACCTAAACTCATTTTCCCTTTGAAGGGAGGACTACTGGAAGGGGAAAGCTGAAAAATACTTGTCAAAATTTGTTAGGTTCAAATTGATAACTTTGTCTATATGACTACCGTACACAAAGACAACTGACTGAGAACGGCTTGATAATTCCATTGGTAGAACACCAGAGCATTACTCTGAAAGTTCCAGGTTCCAATCCATCCCCAGTCCATTTTTTCTTTTTGCTCAGCCAAAAAATTAACACGATTAAAACTTCACAAAACAGACAGGAGACTCCTGAGGAGACTTTACACTAATAACGCATACACACATTGGGGCGTGTTACCAGACCATAACTACAGTAAGTGCAAAATGGTAACTTGTCATAATTGGAACGTCAAAGACTTCCCAAGACAAAAGACTGGTGATTGTTAGTACAAGGTGAAACAGAAATGATCTCTGTGATTTCCTCTCTTGCATTGATCACATTTATTTGCAAAATGACTTTCCCATCTCTACAAAACAGAAGGAAAATTGAAATGGCCAACAAAGTGCATAGATTCCAAATCCGTTTTGACTTACTTCAGAACGTATAAAACCCTTTGGTCAACAGAAATTCAATGAGTTTAAAAATAAAGCCTTGTTTTTATACAGAACTTCAATCCCCAAATTTTTTCGAAAAAAAAATGGAAATGGAGTTTTCTCCTCCATTCCCACGGGACGCACGTTCAAGCAGGCCAAAAATGGCCCCGCCCACTGTTTGCTTTTACTGTACCACACAAAAAAGTAAGAACTACAAGTTCACCCCATCCCCCCCCCAAAAAAAAGATAATACCTTAAATGATGGTTAGTGGGAAATTCACTCACAAAATGACAGACTAATCACCAAAAACACTTGAGCTATGGTAATTTTGAACACATATCACACTTAAGGACCATGTTAGACAAAAAAATCAAAACTCACGTTAGACACATCAGGGTCGACCACCTACATTGGAAATTCAATGGAAACAAAACAATGCAGTTTGGTGTTACAGGAATACACTCGAGGCATCACGGTATTTGCCAAACCATTGTCAAGGAGGGAGGTAAATTTTTGGTGGGAAAATTTTTTAGAGTATTCTCCTTTTATTGCTTGTATGAGTAAAAAGAAATGTGCAGAGAAGAACAGTTAATTGAAAAATGCCAATCGACATGCACAGTGCACCAAGTTGAAATACTCCAAGATGGCATTCCTTCAGACACATGCACTTTTTGGCAAACTCTTGTTACTGTTAACGACATAAGAACGGTCATCACACACTGAGAAATCGTTCTCAATTGGGCTTTCATCTTCCTACTGTCCCAAAAGGAACATAAAATATTGTCTAGCATTGGGCCAAGCTTTCAACGATCAACACTGGCAACAAATGCCAAAGGTGATACATATCACAAAGCTATTGTAAACTTTGTTACAATACCATGATCATTCTAGGAGTGTCAGTTTTTCTCCTTGGCTTTGAGGTTTTTTCCTGTTCTAGCATCATTAGTGAAGCTTTAACGCCCAGCTGAAACTTCTTTGAATTTTTAACACGTGTTGAAGGCAGGAACTACATCTACCAGATCAAGGGCTTTAAATGCAAGAAAGCAAGAAATCTTGGGGTGATCAATCCTTTTCTCAAGCAGGGCCCTTCCTTTGGAACAATTTACGACAAGAACTCAGTCTAAACTGAGGGCACACTTATTTAATATTGCCTTTAATTTGGCACACTAGGTTTCTGCCCGCATTTGTTTTTTTTCAGTTCTCATTCGATAGTCTTCTCTCTTTCCGTCTCTTTTTCCTCTCCTAGTTAAAGCTGTGTCGAGATATTCTAGTGGCGACTTGAGCATTATTTGATGATAGATTTGGCGCATTGCGAATACTCAGTATTATTTTTCTGTATTATTAAATGTCCTGAAGGGGACGCCACAGATAGTGCCGACGTTGCTGCAGGAACAAGCCATCCCAGGCTATAAATGTAGGTGTGCTCTGATGTCTTTTCTCCTCCAATTTCAGGTACGCAGGCTAAGTTTAGGCAGAAGTATGGTGCCAATATTTTGCCCAAACTTCGGAAGAAGGTCTGGAATGGGGAGGACTTTCCCAGGGTGCGCACTTCAGAACCTTTCAGTCTGCCAATTTGATCTTCTCAACGGCTTAAATAAGACATGTTTTTCTGAGGGAACAGTTTGCTCACCTTAGAGAGGTCAAAGGTAAACTCCATGGTGCGTCCTGGCAGTTCCTTCCTCCCATCGAGGTCAAGTGAGGATGACCTCTTGCCCATGCCGTCCTCAGGGATGGAGGGCGGCTTGACCAGGGAAGATGACTTGGACACAGCAACCTTGAGGATGTTCAGTGATTCTTGCCAGTGTACTCCCTGTCCAAGGACACAAACAGATTTGTTAAAAAATCATCCAGGTTCTTGGCAAATGAACCCAACAAGATACTCTGGTCACGTATCGTGGAAGATGCACTTTATGACATTTTACTTCATAAAAACAAGTTTCTGAGAATGATTGCCTTTTTGCCATCATGTTATTCAATTTTAATATTCATGACAAGCTAATTGCATCTTTTGATCTGCTAAGCTTCTTGCTTTATTCAATCTGCATGCTCGACAAATAGATTGACTGTGAACTAGAGACAATTATGCAAGTCAGCACGGCTGGTAGTCTACTTCCAGTGAGCCAACAGCTTGGCTACTGAAGTCAAACTGTTCCTGAGCTGAACAACTTGTTTCCAATTACTTCAAGCTCTGTACCCCATAAATGAGCATTCTGGGGATTCCTTAGCCACACTGAGGAATCTTCCTCCCCTCACCTGGACATATTTAGCGATGACTCTCAGCAGGTTGTCGTTGACTTGTTGCATGGGAGCCGCCATCAAGTCGATATTGTGGATCAGATTGTAGACAATCAGAAGGACAGGAGCCTGGTTGCACATGGGACCTTTCTCCAAAACCTGCCAAGAATGTGTCAAAAAAACTTTGTTTTATTGAGAATTGTTGGTAAAATGTCTCAACGCATGTACAAACATAGATTCAATCCCATTTGATATAAATGCCAAATAATTTCCCAAGTGAGCAACATAGAATGGTTGAAACTTGTGTCATGCATTTATCCACTGGTTCCAACCAATTTACATACATTTGCATAATTTATGCAAGGTTTTGCAAAGACAAAAGCTATAAAGATTTCACATCTTGTTACTTAAATTGATGAGTTACAACTTTTATAACAAAATATTCTTGATGGATTATATTAAAAATGGGAAAAAGTAACCCTGTGCAATACACTTTCCTACTAGCTCCGCCTACAGTTGCATATATTTGCATAATTTATGCACAAATTTTGAGAAGGCAATATCTTCCATTCTGTTTTAAAGAATCAATAAAAAGCTATACTTTTGCGATCAACAAAATATAGCTGATGAATCAGCAATACTTAAAAAGAACCAAATGCCCACTGGTGGTTTTATTAAATTTCCACTAGGACACTGTGACTAGAATGTAACCCCCTTATATGAATTACTAATCAATTACCATATTAACTTGCTAGTCCTTGTCATGGGTGAGCGTGAGCACTCAATGAGCGTATAGCGAGAGTGGTCCTGCTGACACATACAAACACACAACGCATCGCCCTCCTACCCAGGTAGGACGGGTCAGGGTGCAATTTTTGGAACCCTCCCTCCAAAACAGGGAAGAAAACGCAAAGACAGAGTGAGTATAGAACATGCACCGTCTCATAAATTTACATCCTGAAACTGCTGAGGATGCTCTGCAGGTCCTGAACCTAACCGATGAAATCCTAGCTCTGTGAATACCGCACGTTTCTTGAATATAAAATAATTAGGGGTTTCATGGCCTTAGGAGCAGGCTACATAGTACCATCAGCAGTTCAGGAGCGGAGCCAATGCCGACACCCCTGCCACCTCACCTCAATAAGGAAGGTCATCATGGCGATGCTGAACTGGGAGAGTACGCGTTGTGGATGTATCGGCAGACAACGCTGGTCCAGGCCTTGCTGTCTCTGTTGTAAGTTCTGTCTCTGTACATGGTTAGCACTGTGGAGAGGGGCGCCATGCGGGGGTAACGTTCCTGGCACACCTGCGAACCAATCAAGCAAGTTTTGGGGGCCCTTTTCCCAACACTCAAGTTTTGGTATAGTAAGCCAAGATTCTTTCAAACTCTCTCAGTAAAATCGGTAATCTCCCGTTTTGGAACTGTACTTTTTAAGATAAATACTAATCCATTCCAACAAGAGGCAATGCGTGAAGAAATACGACTCACATTCTGTCGAGAAAGACGTGTGGTGTTCACCAGCTAGAGACTGAAAGTTACGAAGTCTTTTTTTTGTACCTGAAATCAGACCACAAACCTCACTCACTAAGGAGCGACAGTGAAGTGTGGTACAAAAGTTTAAGTATCATCGTCTGTCATGCTAGACTGGGAAAGTAATATCATCTCAAAGAATACTGAGAAATGCAGCATCAAAAACCATTTCTCAGGCTAGCACAGAATAAGCCTAAAAATCACTCCCTCATTTCTAGATGGAGAGCAGTCTTTATCAACAAGCTCAACAGCTATGATAGCAAAAGAAACATTTGCACATTAGATTCTGGATATTTTTCCTTACTCTGCCGATGTTGTAGGCAATCTCATTGGCCAGGGTGTCAGGCCGGTCAAAGTGTTGGATCAGGTAGGGCAGGAGTGCTACGATGTTCATGGGGAAACCCCCGGCCTGGGTGGGGTCCACCACACGTAGGTGGGTGTAGCCAATTAGTCTGGAGACTAGCAGGAGAGTCAGGTCGCTAGTCACAATGGACGTGAAGCCCTAGAAATTAAGGATACCAATGGCTTTATAACCAAAAATAAGGCACAAAAATGCAAAACATGGGTATACAGCACACAGTAACTGCCCAAATTAACAAGCCACTTAAATCAAGAGCTATGGCTATGGCTAACCACAGCCACATTACCATCCGTTGAATGCACTCTTTACAATGGCTAGGCCAGTCAAGTTGATCCTAGACCTGGTTGCACTGATAGTTATCAATAGCCAGGTGTACTGCAATGTACAATGTGGAGGTACGGACGAGTAACACTTGACTATCTTGGAATTGTTTACATTGGCACACAGGTGCAAGTAACATGACAAACAAATACATGTACCAATTAACCTACGGTTCATGACTGAACTTGCTTCATTGAGAAATAGATAATTCAACATAAGGTGCACAGATGGTGTATAGAGATATGTCTCAAAGTTGTGGCTGTGGCTCAAAACAATACATGTATATGTACCCATGAAAAACAATGTATAAGTTATTCTAAGCCACTGCCAATTGATTTAGACACGGCTCAAGGCCTAAAGGCTTTCTTTAATACATATAAAAAGCACCCTCAGCAGTGTATACACGGAGACAATAATGTCTACCTTGAGCAGCAGGGCCTGTAGACCAGGGAAGCCCTCCCACAGGAGCTGTGACAACACATGCTCTAGCTTGTTCTTGACTTCGGGACGGTCCAGAGGCAGGTGCTTCATCAGCTACGAAAGCATGAGAAATAACCAACATCAAGTTGCCAGTGACCGCTGCAGAGTTACTCTTTGAACAGTCGGGTCAGAGAGTGTCTCATCAATCGGAACACCCAAGAACATGCCACAGAGAACGTTGCTCCAAGGGAATATAACTAGGAGGTTCTGATGATGTGAGTGGTTGTGAATTTAGTGTTGCCGTGAGACGAAATTTTCTGATGATGTTCCACCGGTGTTAAGGAGAATCTGTGATGCATCATAGACTCTAGTCTCTGGTGGTTTCGGAAGAATGAATTGGCATAGATTGGTATTTTTGAACTAAATTTTCTAATGTATTCTCTATTTTGTCCAGTTGCCATATAAACAGTGTTCCTGAAAAATCTACAACATCTGGAGATCTTCTTCTCACCTTATCGAGCGACCGCAGTGCCATCAAGAACTCGTACTCGTAGTCCGACTCCAGCAGCGAGACAAAGATCCAGAAGAGCTGGCTGAGGAGGTTGAGGCGGTCCTCAACGCTGGTCTCGCCCATCTTGAGGGACTGGGTGGAGCGGGAGCGGTGGAAGCGGGGCTTGTCTATCTCGCTGGCCGTGTTGCTGCGAGACCTGTGCTCCGTGTAACCTCTCATCTCTGCTAGGGCAGGGGGATTAGGAAAAGATATTCAAGCAATAGACCTTATGCACAGCAAGAACATCACGGGGGGAGGGGACGTGCTAGATATGCAGGAACGTCCATACATTTATGGCAATTCTTGCTTCAAAACTATCATCTCGAGCACTGAGTACCTAGTACAATAATCATCAACCAGTCATTCATCTTTGCCGCTGAAATGGTGCTCGCTCATGGAAAAGAAACACAAAATATTGTACAGTAATAGGGGTCACACACTTCAATTCTTACACTTGTCTTTTTGGCAGTAAACAATTCTTTTCAACCCTCAGTATACCGATTCAATTTCTGCTACTCAGTAGATATTTCTAAGGCTCAGAATGCAAGAGTTATCAAGTAGGCTTTTACAGCTCTGACACTTATGACTGCAATATCAGCTATTCAGTAGGGCTGAGTCAATTTGAATAATTCACTATTTGAATATTCGACCTTCAATTTGATCAAATATCCGAATATTTGGTCGTACCGACCGGCAGATTGTTGATGAACAACCCATATACAGAATCGGTTGCAATAGCACACACACTTGTACATTATGATCAACATCATAGCTTCTCACATCTAGGAGTATCTCCATGCAGCCATGATTTAGCAAGATTTAAGAGACGAACAAGACATACAGCCCTGTCAAAAATTTCTATTCCTTTTAAAATTGTTAAATGAATAATTTACTTTTGAAATCATTGTCAGATTTCCGAAGCTTTTCATTTGAATCTGCTTGAAAAAAGCCTCCATAGTGCAATATTTCTCATTTAAAACAAAAGAGATTTTTCCCTTACTTTTCATACATTTTGCATTCGAATATTCAAACTCGAAAAATGATATTCGAATATTTGACAATCAATCGAATATTCGGTTATTCAGCACAGCCCTACCATTCAGGCAGAATGTACAAACAAGCACGGTGTCAACAGCTTATCTAACATTGGCAGGGGGACTTATGTCCCTAAAATACCACATGCACGGACAGCACTGGATCTGCAATACCATATTTGTCAATGAATATCGTACATCCCTAGAAAATCCTTTACTACAGATGATGAATCATGAACGGTAACACTCAAAATCACCTGTGCTCATGCAAGGCAGTGTTTCAGGCAAAGGGGTTTATGAATGGCTTTTGAACACACTGTAAACCATGTTGGACATCTCGTATTGTACACAAATGCATGGAAAAACATCCAGCCTTGGCAACTTCAATGCCCCGTTTTCCACTTCAAAGCAAACGAGGACAACCTTTCCTTTTTTCAAATGCTGGATAATCCTGAGTGTGAAGCACACAATTATACCTGTGGAGCCGTTATTGGCAGCGTTGGCAGCGTTCTCCATCATCTTTGCCGAGGAGATAGAGTGCCGTTTGACGTTGTCAAACCCGCATGCCCCACTGGCGATGTTATACAGGTTGCTGGTGGACTTGCGGAAGTCATTCTTGCGGGAGGAGCCTGTCTTGCCACGCTCCCGGTGATCCGTGAAGACCAGGTCGGCTGACAGGGTGTCGATAGAGGCCTCCAGGGTCAGAAGGATCTCGGTGACGTAGCCCTGGGGAGGAGGTGAGGCCAAAAGGAGTTTCCAGTGAGCCGGATGGCATTCCAACAGCGCATGCCCAATATGAAGGGTGTCTGAGATCATTTCGGAAACAGCAAGACGCACGTGAGATCTGCCTGGATCAGCACCACCATCATTGACTCACATGCATACTTGCTTTTTGCTTTTACGAAATACCAAACTGGTTCATTGACAAATCAGTCAAACTTTTAAAAGATAATATTTGTTATACTTTGTTAAATTTGTTAACTTACGTTTCTTCTCAGAAAGTGGACTTCAGTCCAAGCCTTTGGAATACAAGGACTTTAATAAACCAGGGAGTTCCATTAATCAACAAGAAGTCACGGGTGGTGATAATTTAAATTTGATGAATTTAATCACACCCTTTTTAGACATCCAAAAGGTCAAAGTTTAGACTAATTCCTCTCCATGCTGGATGGTCCCAAACAAGGCATGAGGTTCCCTGAACAGGAACAAAATTACGATTGCACGGATCTGGAGAAAGAGCTTCTCTGATAATAGTTGCTGGCTGAGAATACACACATACAGCCTCGCTAATAGCCCAATCCTAGCCAGCTGGGCATGCTTGGAACAGAACTTGGTCGTGCCTGCAAAGCGCAACACGCCCTTGACAGAATCGGAACAAGTTTCTGAGACCTTCTCAAACGTACCTGTGTCTCCTCTCCCTGCTCTGCTACCGTCTCAACGAGTCGCGAGAGAATCTCGGACAGCATTCGAGATGTCAGGGGGATGTTGAGAGATCGGAAAATCTGCAAAACATCAAAACAAGGGAGTTTTTATCTCTTTGATGACATGTCTAAGACAGAGTATGAATTATCCTGTCAATAATTCAACAACTTTTTTTACTTGTTCAAAATAAATGGCGCCATAAATCCCGCAAGATGGTGCCTTCCAGGAAATGACAAAAGCAAGAATGAAAGGGAATGACTGATTTTTAATTTTGATACGAACAACTACACGTCTTACGTATATTGAACAAAGTCTGACAAGCCTAAACCATAAGCAACCTTTTGGGCGTGATTTTCTTTAAGAGACGAGAACAGAATGTGTCACTGCAATGTTGAGAAACCCATTTCTTTTCTAAACCTGCTGGAGAAAGCTACATGAACCCACTCACTCCTTCAGGAGTACAAACAATTAGAAAGCTCAGCTTCTTTTTTAAACTAAGAAAGAAACCCAAAAGAATGATTTATGGTAGCTTGCCTGGAAGGAGCGACCGGCGTAGTGCCTGGAGGGGCACGACAGGGCCATGGACAGGGCAAACTGGGCCCAGCGTTGCTCCAAGTGGGCCCCCCGCACGCTGCCTTGGAAGACACGCACGACGTGTCTCAGGAACGTCTCGATCTGCTCTGCACTCTTGATGGAGAAGACCTTGGGCGTGATCTCCTCGCAGCTCCACAGAGGGCGACATTTCCTGCGAGACGGTTCCGGGCAATGAGAACACGTCATCAGATCTACACATAGCTTCCCCACATCTCACTTTGTTACGGTTACCTTTAAATCTGTCTGTTCGTGCAATTTCCAGACAATAACAGCGATCAAGTAACAGACTACAGTGAGAGTCTGAAGTCCCAGTTGCTGTCCGACCTACTCCCTTGCACTCAAACCTCACAGAGTAATTTCAACATCCTGAATCAAATCATCATTTGAGCAAGGTCTCAAGTGTAGGCTTGGATTATTATTATATATTATTGGCCTGGGACTGGGTTCTGGACTTGACCTCAACACTGAAAATTTGTAGTTGACAAGATTTGGTGCACTTTACAATGAATTTGGTTTGGAATATATGTATTGTGGAAACAAAATGAGCTTGAACACAGCGTAACCAAGCCTCCAAGAAGTCTTGAGGAATCCTCTAATTCAGTACGAGCGTGAATTCAATCCCTCACCGAGTCACTAGGAACTCCATGAGTGCCTTCGCCGTCTCTTCCTCCCCCCTCAGATGATCCACGTTGATCTGGATGGCTCCGCCCATTCCGCAGGGGATGACTGTGGCCGCGCTACCAGCACTGGACACAGAGATGGTAGACCCCGCGCTGATGGTGGTGGTAGACCCCAGGCCGATCAGCTCCTGGAGGTCCGTGGGGATGGTGTCGGCAGGGTGGGTGCTCGTGTTGCAAATGATGCCGCCTGGACAGGACAAACAGAGCACAGGAAATTCTAACTCCAAATGTTCTAAGGTTACTCATATTGTTAACAGTGTTCGCAGAGAATTTAATGATTGGTGTGCATGTCATGTATTAACCTTAAAAGAGCTGTTTTATGGGGGGGCGCATCTCTACTCCCATGATCTTTGTTGTCTATGGCCCATTTATTTCAAACCTGGCACACCTGTAAAGACTTCCACTGTAGGTACATCTTTCAAATTTCTATTCAATCCAACATGGCAGTTTTCTTGCGGTCATTTAAGGTCAGTCTGCATATATTAAACACACTTGTCAGGAGAATAGACAGCATTTTGGGCAGAGTGGTCTTGGAAAATTGGGCAGTTTGCCAGAATGGGCTGAGTTTTTGTAAAATTGGTATCAAAATGGTTGTTGGACTTTACAGGAAAACCTCCTGAAGACTCAGTCCACATACATGTGTTGCAACCCTTTCAGAGTGAAGCAGGGTTCCCTGAGGTACTGATACGTGTGAGGTAGTAAAACAAATTTTGCCAAAATTCTAGTGCCTGAAACAAAAGCGAGTTGTTCAAAAAGGCCTCAAATAAATTCTACATAGTCTAATAGTCTACATAGTCTAATTTGCTCCAAATTTCCCCTCTAAAATAAATGGATCTTGTATCCTGTGTCCATTTGTACCATTCTGAACGATTTCAACATATCTAAGTTGTTTTGCTTTTTCCTTCTATTTTTGTCTAATTTAACTGTAAATTGGTACAATTCAACAGAAAAGCCTGAGGTGAGCTGGGTCACCTCACAGTTGAGTAGGCAGGGGGAAACCCTGGGGTGAAGCAATATATGCTAAATGCTTTCTAAGAGGTAGGGGGGCAATTTGTCCTCCATTTGGTTCAACTAGAGATGCAGGACACAAGATCCAACCATAGGAAATTGGCCAGCAGCTGTCAGACCTACTCTTGAATTACACTTCTTGAATAAATACACAATGAATATCCATAG